TGGTACAATGCTAAACTGCATCTGAGGCTGTAACTCTGCAATCCTTATACATATTGACACAAAACAATGCGTGTCATTAGCCCCTTTCACACAGTGATACCGGTAAATATCTGGAAAATTTCCGGAAAGACTTTACCGGTATATTGAAAAAAGCGCTGTTCACACAGGCGAGGAAAAGAGCATTCACACATCCATTCCAAAATACCGGTAAATTCTGACATCATTCACCACAAATGAGCTTTAAACGGCTGCGCTTGTATTTGTAAACATTTGACTAAATTACAAACTCTGTGAATAATCAATATTGTGAACAACTTTCGCAGGATCACTTTCGCATGTCGAGATGTTCATAATATGTGCGTGTGCAGACGCTCACAGGCTGTTTCACAGGCACACGCAAAGCTTGAAGGTAAACAAACAACGGCTTATCATAAGCATCTCATCGATGATTATTTACACAGTTGGCATTAAGAAGAACATATAAACGTGATCTGACTAACTTCTAGCAGCTAAATGTGTCTGGAAAAATATTCAAAGGCTTTTATCCTCACAAACCGCGCGGACGTAAAGGCGTCTGACTGTTGTGATTGGCTAAAGCAGACGTCTCACGTCAGCACGTTCTAGACGTGCACGCGCTTATTACGGGAATCTTCCTTCTGCATTCACACAGCGCAGCATTCCGGCAAATTGCCGGTAATGTTACAACTTCTCTTTCCGGAAAATAGCCAGAACGAATTTACCGGTATTTTCAAAAAGGACCTGTTCACACATACAACCTTTCCGGAAAATTGCCGATAATTTTCCGGAAAGGTCTGTATGTGTGAAAGGGGCTATTGTCAACACACTTACCACGTCACATAAATTTGGTAACAGCGCCACCAACTGGTCAAGAGCTACAAACCAGTAAATTTTTTAAATTCTTATGTTTTTGCTTACATTTCCAGTTAAATGAACTTCAAATTTATTCAGAACTCATTGTTTCGCTTGATCTGCTGCTCTATAGAGTTTGCTGATCATGGCCTCTGGGATTGCTTGGCCCCACAATTGCTGTTTGCAGCTATATTTTGTATTTATTTTTTGCATGGCTGTCAATGGCTACCAATTTCCAACATTATTCAAACTATCTTTTGTGTTGAACAGAAAAAAAAAAATTGAACCACTTGACCTTGAGTTAATGGTAAGTACATTTTCATTTTGTGGTGAACTATCCCTTTAATTCAATCATCCTAAGTGTATGCTTGTCTAAATCTGACCTTTAAATTTGCAATAAATATGATGTTTGAACTTTAATGATAAAGAGATCTGGAAATGAGTTTTAAAGTCCCGACTGAGGTTTTGGATGGAAACATCTCATTATTATGGGTATTTTATAGCTTGTCTTTATGCGAGAGAGCAGGTCTTTGTGGGTTTAAAGAAACCTTTTATGAGATAACCATGTCACAGAGTTCATGTCACAGAGTTTATGTTCATCAAACCAAGATTTATTTATCAAATGGCGCAATAATTTTGGCGCGCATGAATAATTGCTGGCTATAAAAGATTATTGTTCACTTAAAGTTTTATGTGCGATCTCACATGCATACAATGCCATGGTATTTTATATAATGTTTTTACAATTCTAGGCTCAATGATGCTTTGTGTTTTAAGAAAGAGCCTCTTTTATTCGTCACTAATGAGAAACTGACTCTCAATGAGGGCCAAATTTCTCAGTGATTCCCGGCCACATCTGCTCTGGCATAGTTTGCATAGTTAGCATAGCAGTGATGCTAATATGACCTGCGGGTTCCCACAGGACTCGGAAAACCCAGAGGACTTTGCAGCTGCATGTGCAGAAAAACATCAGTTTACATTAGCTTTCTGACAGTCAGTTTAAAGGGTGCTCAATCAGCTATTTTTGAAGTCTTGGTTGTGTTTATGCATTGTAACATGTTTGTGTTCTGTTTCTCTGTTCTGTATTTCGGTGCATCACAGTACATTGACGATGCTTTCTATAAACAATTTGATATTTTACTTCACAGCACAATAACTCTTGTTATAAAATGTATAAATATATTTATATTTATACATTATTTGTAATACAATTTTGTCCTTTAGTACAAGCAGTCAGATATATGAACTGTACCTTTAAAAACTCAAGTACACGCACAGAACAACATGAGCATTTATAGCAAATAAACTAATGTAAATATCCCTTTCACTTTATGAGCCATGGCGAGCGAGTTCTTACACCCCAATGATTGGTCACACGCTCAACAGAAAGGGCTGCGATTGGCTGCAATGCTCTGTGGCTGTTCACCTATGAGTGACAGTGACGATAGACGTAATGGAGAAAACCCACTCTGCTGACACACGCTCTAACAGAAGTAACGATGTAACAGTCGAGAGGTGAGGAAACGTTACCTCACAAGTCAAAGGTCCACAGTGAGTGAGTGAGTTAGAGAGAGAAAGAGAAATGGTGTTTACTTTCATTTTCTCCATAACAGTAAAACTTCTGTTGTAACTTAATGTGTATATGTATATATACATATATATATATATATATATATATATATATATATATATATATATATATGTGTGTGTGTGTGTGTGTGTGTGTGTGTGTGTGTGTGTGTGTGTGTGTGTGTGTGTATATATATATATATATATATATATATATATATATATATATATATATATATATATATATATATATATATATATATATATATATATATATATATAATTTTTTTTTAAAGGCACTAATCTTATAAGTAAACTGCATAGTTGCAATCTAAACTACTACATTCTCGACTAAAAAAAGCCTCAAAAATGCATTATGTTGCCTAACAGCAGTAATATTTGTCAAACTGTAGAGTGTCTTTCTGCTTGTTGCTGACTATGTGGGCGGAGTAATACACAAAAGTGAAGGGTGAAGAGGCCTTTGTGTGATGTTACTGGCAAAATATTACACAACTATCAGTCAAACAGATTCAAGCACCAGACAGAACTGTTGTTTCTTTTTATGTATGTATGAATAAATAAATAAATAAATTAATTAATTAATAATTATCAATTTATCAAATTAATTTAATAGTTTTTCTTACTATTACTATCAATATTATTATTATAACAAATGTGTTCTTATTAAATAAAATATGTAAATATTTTACTATTTTATTGTCAAATAAAAAATAAGAATTTAAGAAGTATCAAAATTAATTATTTAATAATTTTATTACAACAAAGAAAAAAAATGTAATAATAATAATTGTTGTCGTTTTAATAATAAAAACTATTATTATGTTTATTATAATTTGTTATTATAAATATTAATAATAATAACTCAGACAACAACAACAAAATATTTTTATTAAAAAATAACTATTTTTACTATTTTACAGTCAAATAAAAATGAATATTTAGGAAATTAGTAATAATTATTAATTAAATGTAGTGATAATTATAAATACTGCGAAATTAAATAATTCATATATCCTTAAAACAACTGGCAGCAAACTTTTGAAAGGTAGCGTATATCCAACAAAAAAATCTTCTATTTTGGTAAATGTACTACATGTTGCGTGTGTGCTTTCATTTTGTCAAATGTCAAAAGGGGACTTGAATTTAACATTTAATGTGAAAAAAAAATAAGTTTCTCTAATTCATTAATCCTATTTTTACTGATAAAGGGTTGTACACAAGTCTGTAGTTTGATCTGCAACCTATAAATAATAATAATAATAATTCCTTACATTTATGTAGAAACTCAAAGCGCTTTGCAAATTTTTGGGAGGGAATCTACCGGATCCACCACCAGTGTGCAGCGTCCACCTGGATTACACGATGACACCCATTATTACGCCCCAAGTCTAGGGGAAACAAAAAGGGCATAATAAACGAAGAACAAACAAATGTGTTGGGGTGGTGGATTTCCCAATATAAACAAAACTTAAAGCAAAAGATTCCCTTCGGTCGACAACCAAACTCACACACTCAATTGAGAGTATATATATGAAGATATTTATTATAGAAAAGTAGGGTTTATATAAACGAGCATTTCGTCAGGATGACCACAGGTCAAAATAACAAACAAAAGAATCTATAAAATAAATCCACTAAATTACCTATTACTATTTAAAGAAACATACAAGAATCTTTCCTGACTCCCTAATATAAACAAAGTCAAAAGTAATCAAATAAATAGGCAGGTCACCCCTACACGCTCAAACTCTCAAAAACTATTCAAGCATAGGATGGTCATCAATACAAAGGTGATTATTGTTGGTCGTCGGCCGAAGGGGTGAGGGAAACCCAGGAGCTCCACTCCAAACACCGAACGCAGCAGAAATGAGCTCTCCGATTCCTGCCGGAAGCTCCCTTTTATACAGGCCTCGTAGACCAGCAGCCAATCAGAGCAGGGAATCACGCCGGCGTGGGAGCCTATAAGACAGCAGAAAAACAGCAAGGAGGCGGGACAAAAGAAAAAGGAGTACAATCCGCAATAATAAAAAAAATAAATAAACTTCAGTCGTAACACCCATATTGCGCCAGACCGCACCCAACACACCAGCTGATGGGTGGAGAGGAGACAGGGTGATATAGCCAATTATGATATGGGAACGGTTAGGAGGCCATGATGGACAGAGTCCCTACTCTATTTTGAAAGACATCCTGGGATTTTTAATGACCACAGAAAGTCAAGACCTCGGTTTAACATCTCATCTGAAAGACGGTGCTCACTGAGCAGAATAGAGTCCCCTTCACTATACTGGGGTGTTAGGACCCACTTACACGGCAGGTTAAGCGCCCCCCTAACACCATTTGCAGCAACAACCAAGCTTTCACATGTGGTCCAGGTACTGACCAGGCGCAACCTTGCTTAGCTTCAGTGGGCGACCATGAGAATTGCAGAGAGCTAGCTGGCGGCTTGTCTAGTCTTAATCAATGCATGTCTCTGTATTTGATATCCTCATTTCTACTTGGTCTTTGCTTAATGAGTTATGTGTGGTTGTGTTTTTCAGAGATGTAGTCTGTACTCTGGTCCGAAGACTCTGAGGTCTCACTATGCTGCTTTATCTGCTGCCGGCCTTCTTACTAACACACACCAATGGCCAGATAGACCCAGGTAACATTGCATTCACACACAAATATAAATCCGTCCTCACACAGACACTAACTCATACTGTGCTTGTTGAACAGCTCACTGTCGGTATCCTCTCGGCATGGAGGATGGCAGGATCAAAAACGACGACATTACAGCCTCCAGCCAGTGGTACGACAGCACAGGCCCTCAATATGCAAGGTAAGTCACATCTAATAAAAAAAAACAATAGTTTATAAGTTACAAAAAAAAAAAACATTGGCAGCACATTGGCTTAGTGGTTAGCACTGTCGCCTTAGCAAGAAGATCGCTGGTTCGAGTCCCGACTGGGCCAGTTGGCATTTCTGTGTGGAGTTTGCATGTTCTCCCCGTGTTGGTGTGGGTTTCCTCCGGGTGCTCCGGTTTCCCCCACAGTCCAAAGACATGCGCTATAGGAGAATTGAATAAACTAAAGGTTGCAGCTGGAAGGGCATCCGCAGTGTAAAACATACGCTGGATTAGTTGGCAGTTCATTCCGCTGTGGTGACCCATGATGAATCAAGGGACTAAGTCAATGGAAAATGAATAATTGCGTAAATGAATGATTGCGTTTGTGCACTCTTGTTTTCTTTATTTACAGAGCACATTAAAACAACAGATGTTGACCTAAGTGCTTTACAAAAAGACCAGCATTCAAAATCTGTACTTCTATCTATACTATAAATCATACTGATGGGAAGTTCGGATCATTTTACTGACTCGGATCTTTGAGTCTCGTTCATCAAGATGAACGAATCTTTTTTCGAGTCATTTCGTTCATTTGGTTCAATTTGCCAAAATGTTATTAAAACCTTACGAATTGCTTCCGAACACATCTACAACTAGCCCAAAAGGTTGATCACATGACAAATAAGTCATTAATAGAAGACTATAAGAAGGAGAACATAATAATTCAATGTTTACCTTCTCTTTTGTCAATAAAGGCATTTTTGTCTCTTTGCTCAGCTCACCTCTTCATGTCTGTAAATGTCAGTGGCAGTCACATATAATCTTAACCAATGTACACAGTCTGAGTCGATAGGAGCCATGATAATTAATTCACCTTTCAAGTCTTGAGTCGTTCAATAATTACGTGACAGAATGACTCAAACACGAGGACTCGAGAGATGAACGGTTCAATTCTTTTTCCGGCTCTAATTGCGTATTATTGGCCTGTGAGGAACGAGTGACTCAGACCCGATAGAGGACTTGAGAGGTGAACGGATCAATTCTTGTTCCGTCTCTAAACGTGTATAATTGGCTTCTCTCTTTCCGCGATGAAGGACTTGAAATGTGATGATGACTTGAAATGGACGATACCACCTGCACAAATGTGCGCACGTGCGGATGAACGAATCACTCCCTGAGAGGACTCTTAGTTCCCGAGTCATATTGAAGATTCGTTTCAAAATGAACGAATCGTTTATGAACGACCCATCACTAATAAAATAAATAATATACATATACATATATATATATATATATATATATATATATATATATATATATATATATATATATATATATATATATATATATTTATATACATATACATATAAATATGTATATGTATATTATTTATATTATTAGTGATGGGTCGTTATATATACTATTATATATATATAGTATAGATTTATAGTATAGTATAGATGTTGTATGCTGGTCTTTTTGTAAAGCATTTTGGTCAAAATCTGTTGTTTTTAAAGCAAAATATATAAAACAGATTAAACTTAATTATTTGCAATCAAAAAGCAAGAGACAGAAGGTGATTTTTTTTAAATGAGGCTTAAAAGCACCCAGGGAAGAACATGCCCTAATATGTAAAGGCAGACCATTCCACAGACGGGGGGCTGTGACAGAAAAAGCCCTGTCACCTCTTGATTTCAACCGTGCTTTGGGAACAACTGGCTGAAACTTGTTTTCCGACCTGATTGGCCTCAATGAAGAATGCCAGTGAAGAAGCTCACCGATGTAAATAGGTGCTAGACCATTCAAACCCCGTAAAACAAGTAACAATAACTTGTATTGAATCTAAAACTGGACTGGGAGCCAGTGAAGAGATGATAAAACTGGTGAGATACTAGAATTTTTTTTTGTCCCACACTGCAAAAAATGTTTTTCTTGCTTAGATTTTTTGTCTTAATTCTATTCTAAATATCTAAAAATTCCTTATATAAAGAAGCATTTTCTAGACAAGCAAAACATATTATTTTGTTTTGAGAAATAATATGACAATATTAAGTGAGTTTTTCCTTAAAATAAGCAAAATAATCTGCCAATGAGGTAAGCAAATTAATCTTGTTTTTTTTTTTTGACGTAAGATTATTTTGCTTAACCCATTGGCAGATTATTTAGCTTGTTTTAAGGAAAAACTCTTAATTTTAACTTAATTTTAAACTTTTAAACTTAACTTAATTTTGGCATATTAGTTCTTCAAACAAGACAATGTGTTTTGCTTGTCTAGAAAATGCTTCTTAATTTAAGAATTTTTAGATATTTGGACTAGAAACCAGACAAAAAAATGTTTTTTTTGCAGTGAGTTAAAAGCCTAGCAGCTGCATTTTGAACCAGCTGCAGGCGTACAATTGAAGCCTGCGAAACTCCTGAATACAAAGAGTTGCAGCCAATCTGGACATGATAAAAACATTGATGATGGATTCTCTTGAAAATGAGATGAACTCTTTAAAGGCAGAAAAGGTTTCAATTTGGCAATGTTCCTTAATAAATAGAAACTACTTTTGATGACGAATTTATGTGCTTGTCAAACTTTAACTCTATGTCAAAGATAACTCCAAGACTTTTTGCGTGACTGTGGACCTTAGGCTTGAGCGAACCTAATTTATTAATTGTAAAAAATTACCAGCCAACCATTCCTTAATCTCGTTAAAACAGATAAAAAAAGACTGTAAAACAAGAGTTTTCTCCCATTTTCTCTTCTGTAATAATACATAACTATATCATATTTTTTGTGTGTGTGTGTGTGTGTGTGTGTGTGTGTGTGTGTGTGTGTTTGTGGTCAGGTTGAACCGTGAGGAGGGAGAAGGTGCCTGGTGTGCTGCTGGTCAACTGCAGCCCTCAGATGTTCAGTATCTTCAGATTGACCTTCGTCAGCTCATCTTCCTCACCGTTGTTGCCACACAGGGACGCTACGCTCGCAACTCCGGCATCGAATTCGCACGCAAGTACCGTCTGGAGTACAGCAGAGATGGACACCGCTGGATCTCCTGGAGAAACCGCTTCGGCAATGAGGTGCTGTATTTTATAGACTGTTAAAGATCATTTATGTATACAGTTAAAGTCAAAATTATTTGCCCTCCTGTGTTTTTTTTTTTCAAATATTTTTCAGTCCAGTAGAGCAAGAAAATGTACACAGTATGTCTGATAATATTTTTTCTTCTGGAGAAAGTCTTATTTATTTTATTTCAGCTAGAATGCAAGCAGTTTTACTTTTATTTTAAACCATTTAAAGGTTAATATTATTAGCGCCCTCAAGCAATATTTTTTGTTTGTCTACAGAACAAACCATCATTATACAATGACTGACTAGTTATCCTAGTAAAGCCTTTTAATGTGACATTAAGCTGTAAAGGAAGTGTCTTGAAAAATATCTACTGCCATTAGAGGTGTGAACCTATACTGGTCACACGGTTCGGTTACGATTATCATGCTTTCGATTCGGTTCAATTCGATATCTCGGTGCATCACGGTGCATTGACGATGCTTTTCATATACAGTGTTATATTTTAGGGGGGAGGCTGTAACAAGCTGTCTGTATAAACACACAGACACACAGCACCACACTGTCTCTCATTCAAACACATACACAAACATAGACAGCACCTAAGTAACAAACACACACACACGCACACACACACACTTAAGCCCTCGCAACAGGGAGAGCTCGCGCTGAGCGGAGCAGAAAAACGAAAAAAAAAAACGAAAAAAAGAAGCACTTTTCCGACGGTCCCTTACTGAGAGCTCCTCTCAGCGCGAGCTCTCCCGGCTAAACACATATTGCGAGGGCTTAAACGGAGCAGTGCTCGTAATGTCGAGCGGAAAAAAAAGAAAGACAGCTGTGAAACATAACCAGCTTTGTCTTTTTGTAGGAAACACACTTTAGGGGCTCTATTTTGACGGTCCATGCGCAAAACGCAGGGCGCAAACGTTTTCAGGGCGTGTCAGAGCGCATTTTTGCTAACTTAAGGATAGGAAAATGCGCTTTGCGCCATGGCGCATGGTCTAAAAGGGTTGAGTTTATTTTCTTAATGAGTTATAGGTGTGTTTTGAGAATAAACCAATTGGAGTCTCATCTTCCATTCCCTTTAAGAGCCAGCTGCGTCGCGCCATAAGCGCATTTTGAGGTAAAGTAAGTTCACTTTCGCTTTTGCTCTCGTGGATAGGGAAACCTTACCGCACAGACATCAATTAGCCTATAAATAATTAATTTTGTTTGTTAAGCGCAAAGATTTGTTTCAAAACTAGTTCTGAATTCAGTTCTAATTTCCAGCAAACGAATAAATGAACAATAATAACCAAGTGTGGTCAAAATAGTTATTTCCAAATACACCTGCTGTGCCCCATATGGTCTAAAATTTGACAGGTGGACAAATCTAAGCTTGTTTTTAATAAAACAAATATAAATATGGATATAATAAATAATACTGCTAATAATAATAACATTATACAAAAGCAAATTGAATGAACTGAAAAAGCCTCCCAAGATGAAGAAAGTAAGGCAGTGGTTTTTAAATTCATGTAGGCTAGAAATTAATATGTTTTGTAATATTTTAATCGTTTATATTTATATCCTATATATATCCTTATTATATCCTCTATATATATCCTTAATAAAGATATTTGCGTATTGCTCTACATCTTGTGTGTAGTGTGTTAGCCAGGCGCACATTGCGCCAGACAATAGACAGACTTTGTTCTGGTCTAAAGATCAGACTATTTACAGTTTCTCAAAATAGCAACGCGCCAAAACACGCCTGCTTTTTTAGACCAGAACGCCTATGGGCGCACATTTGAGCGCAAGTGCATTTGCTATTTAAACAGCGTGGCGCAACACCTCAAAATGACCCTTGCGCCAAGCTTAAAGTAGCAAAAGAGTATTGCGCTGCGCCATGCGCCACATTGCGCCGGGTGTATGATAGGGCCCTAGATCTTTTTAGGGTAAGAGGTTTTTGAGTTATTGCCGTCTATAACTGAATGTGTGTCAGGAATATCGAAAACAAAACCAACTGAACCGCTCATTTCTGGCGCCCCCCCTGGATATGCAGCGCTCTTAGCATTTGCCTATGGTGCCTATGCCACGGGCCGGCCCTGAGTTGGCTGAGTGTTGTAAATACTCGCGCTCACCTCCCTCGCCACAGAGCGCATAGGAGATAAATGACGTCAGTACATAATAACCGGTTATGATTATTACTGAACTGATACCTTATTGTCCGCGTCTGCATCGCGGTGCACCGAAGAAACAGTTAATTTTGACACCCCTAACTGCCATTATGGCAAAGATAAAATAAATCAGTTATTAAAAATGAAATATTAAGCATCGATAACTTTTTTTCAGTTTGAGCATTATAAACCCTAGATGGTGGATAATAAACCCCAAAGGGTCTTCTTTCCGAAGATACATGAACTGTGAATGTAGACCAACTTATTCAGCAACTGTTAGCGCCCTATCACTGCAGCATGACTGTATATTCTATACTGGACATTATTTCTGTTAAATGACAAGACTTTTGTTCAAGCAAAGTCAGATCTTACTGTCCTTATGAAATCATTCAAAATCAAAACATGACCATATTTTATTTTGGTAAAATAAGCGTAATCTAGAGGTCTTTCATGCCTTTATATGCCTTTCAAATAAGCCACTTCTGATACTAAGTGATCAACTAGCAGTGAAGTTATTATTTGTTGTTCCTAAAACTTGGATAGGCGACAAGACTTTTGTCAGGTTGTCTATTATGTAAACTTTTATTTTGCATGTGATTAGTCACGATTAACTATCTATATTAACAGTGTTGCACATATGAGCATACCTTATTGTTGAACTTATGCATTTCAGATTATAATGGGCAATGTGAACACCTACGACACTGTGGTGCGAGATCTCCATCCTCCCATCATCACTCGATTCCTGCGCCTGATTCCTGTCACTGACGCCGTTCACACTGTGTGTATGAGAGTGGAGCTGTTTGGGTGCGCCTGGCAGGGTGAGTCACTAGAATCAAACACAATACATTAAACAGTCGTTTTATTATTGCAAAGCAGGGGCCTCATGTACAAAGACTTGCGCTGAATTCATACTAAAACATTGCGCACGGACAAAAGCTGTAAATGTGCGTACGCAGTAAACAAATCAGATGTATGAAACACTGCGTACATGGAATCCCACACATATTCTCTTTGTACATCCGAATTGATGTGAAACTGAGCGCAAAACCTGCCTCCCTCCCCCGTATGAATATGCTAATGACTCCACTTTGGCAAAACCAAACAAAAAAGTAATGGCAAAAACAAGCAAGAAGAGAAACTTCACAGAATGTGAATCGGAGGTGCTCCTATCGGAGGTACATAGATGTATACATTAGATGTCGCCTACCCTGTTGTTGTCTATTGGAAGGCATGCGTCAATAGAGCCGCCATTTTGGAACAGGGTAGCGCTCCTTTGAAATGAATGTGGGACCAAGGTACAGTGGAGGACTGTGGCCATCCAAAGCCAGAGATATAGACCATTTTCATGGCTGCTGCATGGAGGGCGCCATAGCGACCAGCGTCTTCCGGTAGAATGCTAAAAACTTCCATTTACAGCGTGTACAACTGGTAATTTGCGCTCCGAAAATGGGTTTCAATAACGTTTTTAATGGATAACAGAGTGTTTTTGTGACACACAACTTAGAAATCTGTCTGTTAAAGCCGTTATAATCTGTCACATGTGGTTCAAGAGTGTCAGAAATACGAGAAAAACGTTCTCTTAGTTCACGTGTCTGCCGTCAGAAATACTGTGTGTTTGTGCGTTCTCGGCCTGTCAGCTGTTAGCTCAGCGGCTCTTTAACACACAGAGAGAGAGAGAGAGAGAGAGAAAGAGCAAACCAGAGTACTGGCATGAAACTTAAAAGGTATGAAAGTCGTGTAATTTACAAAAATGACCAATAAAAGTCAGTTATTGATCCTCTGCTGGCTGATTTACTGTTCATTCTAATCGCGAGCCGTTTGTGTTTTATTTCGTCTGTTGTTTTTACCACGGTTTGTGTTTTTCTGTGATTTCGAAATGACACTAGCCTTTATTTTCACTTTGTCATTAAATCATGTTATTAAAAATGTTATTAAATCAGTGTGTCAGTGGCACAGTACAGGCTACGTGTGTGTGTCAAACATTTTGGTGAACTACATTTGTTTGGGCTGGTTATATATTTGAAATAAAGAGAAAATGTTGACTTTAGCGATGACGAGGCTTCATTTAAACTGCAGAAGTTGCCGTCTGACATCGATGGGAAAATGCCTCACAGCAGCTGTTTTCCATCCTATTAGATCGCATTTCTTTAAGTGATCAGTCTAGGAGATGGTGCTGATGGACAACAGTATTAGTTCAAAGAGGATAAAAGCAGGTAAAATAGATTAAAACTATCGTTTCAAAGCTGTCTAAATGTGACTGTTTACACGCATCAGCTGCCGACCAGAAGTTCTTCGCATTCTCCTTGCGCATACACGCAAAGCATAATGGGTAATTTTGCGTTCCGAGAAAAAGGTCTATACACATATACACATATATCTTTGATCAGGAGTTTTCCTGGATGATAGTATGTAATATTTTTTTCTAATTACGAAAATTATAATTTGACATCACTTTTCTACATTGATGGATCAGTGACCGCACTGGCATTCCTGACAATAAGCTTGTGTCTGTGTACAGAAATGTACTATTCACCCTCCCTGTAAAAATCTGATCTAATCATGTCCTGAAACACAGCTCCTCTCCTGCTTTCACTTCTCATACTGACGGAGGGAGCGATTTGTTTGTGAATGAATCTCCGTTATGAACGGCTCGTTCACTAGCCGACAATAATGCAAGTTTCTGGCAGCAAGCATCTCGTTGTCATATTTATTTTGCATTGTTTGCTAATATTTTTCAACAAAACTAGCATAAGCCGAGTGTTTAGTGCGAGTTGGAGCTGCTTTGCCGTATGGTGAATGCATATGGTGAATGCAGTAAGTGACTGTTATCATCAATAACGTTACCTGATCAGCACAAAAGTTCAGAACATACAAAAACAGAAAAAACTTAATATTACCTATGAAATGTTCTGCCTTTGTGCTTTGTTTGCTCGTTACTACACCCGTAGACAGCGCTAAAGTCCCGCATCTTCACGTAATAACACTGTCTTGACTAGTGCGGTTGAATGACATTTGTCCTGGGAGCACTGTACCAATGTGGCGGCGCTATAGACGCATGCTCAGGGTCCCTATGCGATATCTAGTGTATATATCTATACCGGAGGTAGACCCGAGAGAAAGGGTGTTATTTGCAAGTTTGTCCTCCGGAATTAAAAAAGAAATGGTCTGATGTAAAGCTGCAGGTTGAGAGGAGAACAGCGGCGCACCGTCAAAGTGTGGACGGAACAAGCCGGGGAACAGGAGATGCTGAACTAACACCCTTTGAGGAGAGAGTTGGCTCAATTGACGGGGTTGGTACGGGTGCTGGAAACCCTGGAAAATGCTTGATTTTTAATAGTGTTTTCAAGGTTAGAAAGTGCTTGAATCGTGGACAAAGTACTTGAACCTGCTTGAATTTGAAATTGCAGGGCTCCAAATTGCAACTGTTTTAGTTGCATATGCGCCCAAACTCTTATCTATGCAAGCTCAATATGTATCTGGGAGCATTTGTGCATAAAATTGTTGGCGTTTGACCGGTTTTCATGTTCACCGAATGTGCTTATTTATTCATTTACATGACCCAGTATGCGTGCAAAATTATCTGCATTGCTTGCAGCCTTTTTGCTCTTTCTTGTTTTAAAGCAATGGCAACATATATAAATGTAGACGAGCCTCTGTGATCATTATAAGCAATGCATGACCTCATGCGGTTCATGCTGGTTCAGTTTCATACTTACATATGGGCTACAGAGACTGAAGCAGATGGTTTTGGCATCTCTCACTGAAGCAGCTGTGGTGTGTGTAGATTTGCCCCCTAGTGTCTGATTTGCTGCAAGTTGCTTTCATTTGACCTCAGTTACTTCAGTACCTTAAAGGGATAGTTCACTCAGAAATCATATAATCATCATTCAGTTGTTTTAAATCTGTATGAGTTATGTTCAACACAAAAGAAAATATTTTGAAAAATCATTTATTTGAAAAATGTGTATTTGTTTTTCCTGCTATGGATGTCGATGGTTACAGGTGTCCAAAACATAGTCAAACCTTTCTGGTGAACACAAAAGAAGATGTTTTGAAAAATGTTGAGTCCTGTAACCATTGACTTTCATAGTATTTGTTTTTCCTACTATGGATGTCGATGGTTACAGGTGTCCAAAACATAGTCAAACCTTTCTGGTGAACACAAAAGAAGATATTTTGAAAAATGTTGAGTCCTGTAACCATTGACTTTCATAGTATTTGTTTTTCCTACTATGGAAGTCGATGGTTACAGGTGTCCAAAACATTGTCAAACCTTTCTAGTGAACACAAAAGAAGATATTTTAAAAATTGTTGGCATCCTGTAACCATTGACTTCTGTAGTATTTGTTTTTCCTACTATGGAAGTGGATGGTTACAGGTTTCCAACATTTTTTTCAAACTTTTATGAGTTATAATGAACACAAAAGAAGATATTTTAAAAATTGTTGGCATCCTGTAACCATTGACTTCTGTAGTATTTGTTTTTCCTACTATGGAAGTGGATGGTTACAGGTTTCCAACATTTTTTTCAAACTTTTATGAGTTATAATGAACACAAAAGAAGATATTTTAAAAATTGTTGGCATCCTGTGACCATTGACTTCTATAGTATTTGTTTTTCCGACTATGAAAGTTGGATGGTTACGGGTTTCCAACATTTTTTTCAAACTTTTATGAGTTATGGTGAACACAAGAAGATATTTTGAAAAATGTTGAGTACTGTAACCATTGACTTTCTTAATATTTGTTTTTTTTATCCATTATGAGTTATAATGAACACAAAAGAAGATATTTCGAAAAATGTTGGGAACGTGTAATCATTGACTTTTATAGTATTTGTTTTTTCTACTATATAAGTCGATGGTTACAGGTTTCCAACATTTTTTCAAACCTTTTGGATTTATAGTGAAAACAAAAGAAGATATTAAAAAAAATGTGTGAAGCCTGTTCCCATTGACTTTCATAGTATTAATATTTACTACTATGGAAGACAATGGTTACAGGTGTTCAAAACATTTTCAAACCGAACCATTGACTAACTCTGTTTTGTCTTTTTCCAGATGGCCTGATGGCGTACAGCTCTCCGGAGGGTCAAATCATGATGGCTCCTGGATTTCCCATTACATCCCTCAATGACTCTACATATGACGGACCCCTGGAGCGCAGGTGAAGCCTTAATGTAATACTGAAGAGTTAAAAGGTCAGCTTTAAGCGATGCATTGAAATAATATAGATGTTAATTGTTTGGATTGTTTTATGCATTTTTGAATTAGCTGCTATTAAAGGGATAGTTCACCCAAAATTGAAAATACTATCATCATTTAGTCACTCCTCATTTGTTCAAATTTTTTTATGAGTTTCTTTCTTTTCTTAAACACAAAATAAGATATTTTGAAGTAAGATGGAAATTAATAACCATTGACTTTCATTGTTTTTCCTATTATAGAAGTCAATGGTTACAGGTTTTAAACTTTCTTCAAAATATCTTCTTTTTTGTTTAACAAAAAAAAAGAGGCTCATAAAGGTTTGGAATCACTTGAGGGAGAGTAATAATAATAAAAAATAATAATAATTAATAATAATTGATAATATTAATAATAAATAGTAATACTTAATAACAATAACGACAATACTACTACTTCTGCTGCGAATAATAATAATAATAATAATATTAATAATAATAATAGTAATTTAAAATAATAATAATAATACATAATATTAATAACAATAATAGCAAATAATAATAATAAATAATAATACATAATAATAACAACAATAATAAACAACAATAATAAATAGTTATAATAATACTAATTAAGAATAATAATACCAATACCAATAATATTAAATAATCTATAATACTGTTAATGGTAATAAATAATAATAATTATGACAGAAATAATAATAATAATAATAATAAATAATAATAATAATAACAATAATAGTAATAAATAATAATAATTAATAATAATAATGATAAATAAATACCAGTACATAATAATAATAATAATAATACTAATTATTATTATTATTATTATTATTATTATTATTATAGCAATAACAATTAATAATACAGAATAATAATAATATTAATAATAATAATAAATAATAATAAATAATAATAATAATAATACATAATAATAATAACAATAATAATCATAATAATTATGATAATAAATAATAATAATAATAATAATAATAATAATAATAATAATAATAACGACAACAATAATAATGATAAATTATAATAATAATAAAAAATTATAATGTTTCATAAGTAATCAAAATAATTAATAATACTAATAAATAATATTATTATTATATTAATAGTAATAATAAATAATAATAATAAGTGGTAATAATTAATAATAATAAATAAATAACTACATAATAATAATAACAATAACAATTAATAATACATAATAATAATAATAATAACAACAATAATAGTAATAAATAATAATAATCATAATAATCATAATAATAATAATGATTGTAATACAATAATAATTTGTACACAATGATTTGCCTAATTACCCTACCCACCTAATTAACCTAATTAACCAAGTTAAGCCTTTAAATGTCACTTTAAGCTGAATACTAGCATCTTGAAAAAATATCTAGTCAAATACTATGTACTGTCATCATAAGATAAAAGTTTTTAAAAACTTAAATTTCAAAAACAAAATTTAAGGCCTTAAAAAGTCTTGAATTCACTGAAATATGGAGTTGTGTGTCTTAAATCATTTTAAACGGGTCTTGATTGTTTTATATCCAGGTAAAGCTACCCTATCTGGCCAACACCCAATCACCAATAATCCAATTTAAAACTTGTTTTATCTATTTAAGTTTTTATTGCAAAGACAGACCAATTCACAACAGCTGTTAGACATTTTTACAGCAAATTCTCCAAATTAAATTCCCTAATCAGGGACTAATCAGCAACACATCCCTTTACATGATTTTCCATAAATACAAAAACTATTAACAGAAGTAACCGGCCCATTAGAAACCATCCTTAATGTTTAGCCCTGTACAAGTAGAAAATTTAATTCATAATAGTCTTAAAAGCATTTTAAAAAGTCTTAAATTTGACTTGAAGAAACTTGCCGAACACCTGGTTATTAAAACTATTATGTTTAATCTTTAATCTTTCTGTTAAACAGCAATTGGGGGAAAAAATACCGGGGGGCTAATAATTCAGGAGGGATAATAATTCTCACTTCAACTGTCACTGGCTGATTCTAGCCGACTGTGTCGTTTTCCTAGTCATTCTTTTCCAGAACAATCAAGCAGTTCTTGAATGAGTTGTAATCACACAGTGCTTCCTGTCTGCGTCTGCTCCACAGGAAGTTGTCGGGGGGTCTGGGTCAGCTGGCCGATGGGGTGGTCGGCCTGGATGATTTCGTGGAGAGCAGGCAGTACCGACTGTGGCCCGGATACGACTATGTGGGCTGGAGGAACGATGGCTTGGGCCCTGGATATGTGGAGATGGAGTTCCAGTTTGACAGACAACGAAACTTCACCTCCATGAAGGTGAGGACTGCACTGTGTTTATAGTGATGCACTAATACTGGAAGGGGATCAAATCTGAAATTGCTAGGAAATTGCACTACAGTTTCAGAGAAATGGCAAGACCCTGATTTAACCCTGAAGTTTTACTTGTATGTCTCAAAAGAATATGTATTGTAACAAAGTTCGAATTGTGTGGGCGAGTAAAAGGGCAAGGCTGGTGACTTAGGTAAGAAATGAACACTTTTTTTATTTTACTTTTCAATTAGAGCATGTATTCTTTTAAGGCCCAATGTGTTTTTTACATGATTTTTTTTTTCTCTCTTTGCTATTTGGGCTTATTGGAACCTAATTAGAATGAACATCTAAGTGTCATCTTTTGATATGATGTACTTTTAAAAATGATGTCCATATATGTGGACTCGTGGTCCGAATTTACATAAAACAATTTTTCCCGAATTTTTTTTTATGCATATTATCATACTTTTTTTTTTTTTTACTTGCTTTGACAAGAGAGTAAAAACAAATTTTTTTTTCCCATTTTGGACAGTTAAAAATAGGGTTTGGGACATTTAATATGCTGCAAAACAGTTGCAGGATGACACCGTATGTCTGTAACAAAATATAAAACATTTAAAGTGTTTTAAATAGCCACTTAAAAGCTAAAAATGTGCTGTCCACGTATGTGGACACTCAGGCCCTAGGAGGCTGTAGCATGTTGTTGGTTTTCTCAGGCTCATCTTTCTCCCTTTGTGTCCTTCTGGAAACAATTCCAGCACGTCTCTCCATCCCAATCACTGCAAAGACACAGGTGTTGGTAATATTTTTGATTTGACCTGCTCTTCTTTACTGTAGATCATTTCAATGTGGTCATTGGCCCATGAACGTTTTCCTCGTTATCAAACTATTTCAGAACTGTAACAAGAGGCAAATCATAACTTCATGTTAAAACAACTAACTTTTTAAAATTTATTTACTAATATGTGGCTCTTCGGGCTCTCTGAAGCTATAGAAATTAAAAATGGTAAACAGCAAATGCATTGCGACCTTTGTTTTTGTTAACATCCCTCAAAATAGTCTATAACTACAATTTTAATACAGGTAAACATGATTTTAAAGACAAACTAATAAAAATCACAAAAATTGTAGTAGTACTATTAGTAGAATACTTTATTTGAACGGAAAATTGTTCTTGTTATAATTGTTGGCCATTCTCCTCTGACCTCTGGCATCAACAAGGCATTTGCGTCCACAGAACTGCCGCTCACTGGATATTTTCTCTTTTTCAGACCATTCTCTGTAAACCCTAGAGAGGGTTGTGCATGAAAACCCCAGTAGATAAGCAGTTTCTGAAATACTCAGACCAGCTTGCCTGGCACCACCAACCATGCCCCGCTTAAAGTCACTTAAATCACCTTTCCTCCCCATTCTGATGCTTAGTTTGAGCTGCAGTAGATCATCTTGACCATGTCTACATGCCTAAATGCATTGAGTTGCTGCCATGTGATTGGCTGATTAGAAAATTGTGTTAACAAGCAGTTGAACAGGTGTACCTAATAAAGTGGCCGGTGAATGTTTACATTTTTTTTTTACTTTAATGCATCTTCTGAATGGCTCTGTATAAAATTTGAAATCTTATGGTGGAATCATTTCTTTCTTTCTTGTTTGTTTGTTTTATTATAGCAGCATTTGTTTTTAACCGTGGTATATGATGTAATTACGACCATAATGATTTCGTATGTAACTTTCCTTTAACCACACGCATGTGTTCTGTGTCACATCTGTAATGTCTATAATTTGAAGTTGATGCCCTTTTGAAGTGTTTGTTGAGTGACAGCTTTAATGTAGCCCTAATTATACACTATATTTCACTCATAATAACACATAATTACGTGTTGGATCAGGATTGTTTGCCATAATAACGATGCTTATTGTGTCTGGATATAATCATGCCAGTGTCTGTGGATGGGGCTGCTTTTGGTGCTTAATCTTGAAGTAATTGTTTCATGTTTATTGAAATCTGGGCACTTTGCTTTGATATCTTTAACTCCATATGAAATCAGAGTAGATTGTACTTATGATTTACTTACTGTATTTACCCTGATTTGGTACCGCTTTACTTGAGTAGGAGTTCATAAGACTGCCGTGAAACTCTTAATCATGACATAACATGTGTAATGAATGTGAAAGAGATAATGCATGCTTAAAACAACTCTCATTAAGTGTAATTCGCTCAGTTATGACATTTTAAATGCAAAGATGGCTTGTTTATTATGACAAGTTGACAGAAATAAACACATCTCAACCTGTTTTTGTTTTGTCATGACAACTTGACATGACTAAGTTAACGAAACGTGTCATAAATCTGTCATAAACATGATTGTCATAAACCCATCGTAAATATATCATGAGTTTTATAACAGCATCATTAATATTAGTTTTGACCTCAACATTTAAATGATAAATGCAGTTTGTTCCAATAAAAATGTGGTCAGAAAAATGATCATGACACAATTATAATGGCTTCATGAGAATCATGTTTATGACGGATTTATGACAAGTTGTGTTGTCTTGGTAATGTCAAGTTGTCACGACAAAAACAGGTTGTGCTGCATTTGTTTCTGTCAACTTCAGAGGTCAGTGTCATAACAAACATGATATTTGCATTTAAAAAGTCACAACGGAGTGAATGACACTTAACATTTGTGGTAAACATGCATAAAACCTCTTTCACATTCATGACGTGTTATGTCAGGATCAGAATCAGTTTTATTGCCAAGTGTGCTTCAAACACACACAAGGAATTTGTTTTGGCTACAGAAGCTTCCAGTGTACATTACCCTGATTATAAAGGGTTCATGACAGTCTTATAAACACTCCATCAAGTAAAGTGTTACCTTTTCATTTTTAATGCTGCTTTTTAATGATCATGAGTTCTTGATTTTGATTGATTTTTTTATTATCTTTTTTTGTTATTAATCTTTGAGTAGGAAGTTCATAAAAACAGCTTTTCACTGCTAAAATGTTTTCTTCTATTAGGATTTTATTCTTGATTAAAATGCATATAATAAAACGTCCATAATACATAATATCAATATCACGAGATAATTTCATGTTAAGTCCAGTGAAAACCGAAAAGTTCACAGTTAAGTAATTTATCATTAAATGAGAAAAAATGTATCTGCAGTAGGGGTCAAAAAATGTCATTCTAAAGGAAAAGTCAATATTTAGTTTATTCTATTTATTAATATGTTCTACTTTGTATTTATATTTTTTGTTTATTTTAGTACTACAGAAGTTGTTAATATATTATATTAATAATATATTATTAATATATATATATATGTACCATTATTAATATTTATATTGTTTAACTTTAATTTATAATAATTTTAATTATATACACACACATATATATATATATATATATATATATATATATATATATATATATATATATATATATATATATATATTTCTAAACATAATATATTTAATGAATAATTTCTAATAACTGATTTATTTTATCTTTGCTATACAGTTTAAAGTGACATTTAAGGACTTAATTAGGTTAATTAGGTTGGTTAGGGTAATTAGGCAAATTATTGTATAACGATGGTTTGTTCTGTAAACTATTGAAAAAATATATAGTTTAAAGAGCCTAATAATTATATATATATATATATATATATATATATATATATATATATATATATATATATATATATATATATTTTTTTTTTTATATATATATATATATATATATAGAGAGAGAGAGAGAGAGAGAGAGAGAGAGAGAGAGAGAGAAAGAGAGAGAGAGAAAGAGAGACTAAGGTTGCATGATATTGGAAAGACTGTACTTTATATTTCGATTTTTCACAAGATAATAATTAGACACTAATTATTAAATGATAATTAAATGGACAATAAGGCTGCATAATCCTCATTGTTTAAATACTTCCAATACAATTTAACTTTGTTAAAGCTACAAACATAATAATTCCTTGAGCTCAAATGCTTTAAACTCGCTTAAAATGTTTACTGAAGGCCTGCAAAACACAAGCAATTGATCAACTTTCACTTTATTATGGCTAAACTGAAATGACTCCAGAATTCTTGAACCTGGTCAAATATAATCCTGACTCCACATTGCACGTCCTGCGGTGTGACTATTGCCTATTCATTCATTCATTCATTCATTCATTTTCCTTCAGCTTAGTCCCTTATCTATCTGGTGTCGCAGCGGAATGAACCCCCAACTTATCCAGCATATGTTTTACACAGCGGATGCCCTTCCAGCCACAACTCTGTATTGGGAAACACCTATACACTCTCACATTCACAATCATACACTATAGCCTATTTTTAGTTCATCCAATTCTCCTGTACCGCATTTCTTTGGAATGAACACGGGGAGAACATGCAAACTCCACACAGAAATGCCAACTGACCCAGTCAGGACTCGACCAGCGACCTTCTTGCTGTGAGGCGAAGGTGCTAACCATGTCGCCACACACTAGTATGTATTCAATATTGATGCTAAAACAATATATTATACAGCCCTAACACACACTCACACACACACACACACACACACACACACACGGACACACTAGGAAACTTCTGTAAAAACAGAAATGCTTTTACTGTCACCTTTGATTGATTAATGCATTTTTGCACAATAAAATGATTACTGTATTTTAAATGTGACTGATTTGGAAGTATATCATATATAAAGAGGAATTTATTAATAAATTGTCAATTCATGTTGACTTTATGTTCAGGTTATAGTACAAAAACACGCTTTATATGTGAGTGAGTGAGTGAGTTTTTTCTCTGTTTACCAGGTTCACAGCAATAACATGTTCTCTATGGGTGTGAAGATCTTCTCGTCTGTGTCCTGCGTATTCAAGCTGCACCTCATTTCTGAATGGGAGTCTGAACCGGTGGAGTTTCACACAGTTATAGATGACAGGAATCCGAGCGCTCGTTACGTGACCATCCCGTTAAAGCACAGATCGGCCACAGCTCTGCGCTGCCGCTTCTACTTCGCGGACACCTGGATGATGTTCAGCGAGATCTCCTTTCAGTCTGGTAGGAAATAGAAACTGCCCATCTCTCTCTGATATTCAGTGTGTTTCCTCATTAAATAACTGCCAGAAGTGTGAAATGCTGTGCACCGTGTATGCTTTCCATTTTATCATTCCAAATTTCTTAATTTCTACTTTCAATGTTGTTTAAGGTTAAAAAAAAAAACTATTATCATTTCAAATTTTTTAAAGGGCAACTATTTTACCTCTTTTACAAGATGTAAGATAAGACTTTGGTGTCTTCAGAGTGTGTGTGTAACGTTTCAGCTCAAAATACCCAGATTATTTATTATATAATGTAGAATCTGCACATTTTAGTGTCTGAATTAAAGCTGAAGATCTTTGCCCGAACCTGACGGAACCTGACGGGTTCAGGCTTAATTTCTATCATTTTAGACAGGGCCGGGCTTGGGCTTGCGCGGTAAATAAACAGTCATGTGATGCATTTCGATTAGTGCGAGAAAGTAATTAAATAATTTGTTACGACATCCAAACCCATCCCTGCAAAGCTAAAACAAATGATGACGGAGAAGTCAAAAAGAGCTAATTTTGACTGTGGTCAGGCCAGCCGCCACTTCAGAAAGAACGGTCATTCTAGCTGCCAAGGAATTTCAGCGGTCGCTCATAAACTGCGTGATACGGTAGAACGCTAAACAGCACAGCAAGCTGACAGGGAAGATGACGAGGTCACTCACTACACTGAACCTTCTGTCATGGAAAATGAAATGGATGTTCTCGGCTGATGGAAGATGAACAAACATTCCAACCCAAAACTTGCTAATTTAGCCAGAACAGTGTGCATCCTGGCCAATAGCAGCAGCAATGAAAGGGTGTTCAGTGCCGCTCAGTGAGTGCAGGACTGTGCTAAAGCCATCTACAGTGGATTCAATAATGTTCCTCCACAAAAACACAGAGTCTAAACTTGGCGAGTAAAGGGATTTTAAATTATAACTAAATGTTAATTAAACCCTAAAAGCGTAATGTAGACAGAGTATACAAGATAATATGGGCATTAGTCTTTTTAATATCCAGCTTCACTGTCACGTTAATGCCAGATTATGAAGAGAAGTGGCGAAACAAATCCTGCAGAGCCTTTATATTAATTTCGTTATTGTCAAATACCCATCATAATTTATCATTTGTTTTTATTTAATTTGTTAAGAAAGACTTATTTTTATTTGTCTGTTGGCCAATTTAAAGGCTAGGGGTATGTAGGCTACCTAGGCCTATTTAGTGTGCTGAGATGTTATGATGTTACAGAGGACTTATTTTATTTCTTTGTTCCAAGTAGCCTATAGCCTACATTTGTTATGAATAAATAATGTCAAAACACATACTGTATAAACGACTCTTTCTTGAAAAAAGGCAAAAGAGCTGTGTGCATGTGCACATTTGAATAATGTCGGGCTGTAAATCGGTTTGGGCTTTTAAAAAGCTGTCAATCAAAATGTACTTGTCGGGCATGGGCCAAATTTTGTCAGGCTCGGGCCCTATCGGGCCTAACTTTTCTAGTCTGAATAAAGTGTAGCTGTTTTTGTAGCCTATGGCTTAAAATCCTTCTCACCGCCCACCGCTTCGACGTCCATCTGCTTCTCACTCGTTACGTCAGATAAACAGCAGTCAGTGACAGACAGACAGATACGGATGAACCTGAAATAAGGTCACGAGTCAAAAATACTAAGTACGTTTATTTCATGTATTTGTGGGGGAGTTTATTCAAGCCTTTCTGAAACAATGAGTCACACACAAATGCTGTTTGCAATACACACACACACATTAGCGTTTACTGACACCATGCGGTTGTGGTGATTATAGTGGTTAAGAATTACAGGTATTTGACTGTCTTTAATACAAATAAGCACTGTTGTAAAACGTTTTAAACTTAGAAAATAAATTATTAGTATGCAAATGATCACAGAGAGTAACATATGGTTTAATCCCAGTTTCTTGGCGCCTGTCACTTAATTTGGTGAGCAGGAAAAAATCCAATCCTATGTAGGGTTGTGGTGGGCCTCAAAATCACTGGGATTTTAACGTCAGAAAAAAAAAAAAGAAACTTGTTTTGTTTATATCTGTCCAATATGACAGTGGACACACAATACCTACACACACTTGGATATGCATATCCTTATATTAGTCCAATTACTCGCTCACATTTTGAGTAATAATAAGATGCTTAGTGTTAAGGTGTAATTTGAGATTTAGTGATTTCTGGTGTTTTGTTTTCCAGTAACTATTGTGCTTCCTACTAAGAAACCTCCAGTTTTGACGCCTCCTTCATATGAAGCTAACAGCGAAATACCAGAAACTACACAAAAAACAGGTATAAACATTACTGTGTGGAAAACAGCTTTTTGCTGATTACAGTAATACAGTAATCTGAATGCATTGCTAGCATATGCCATGTAATAGTTCATGTTTCACTTGTTTGTACATTTATGCATTTTGCTAGCATGAATTAGCATTTTATAGATGTTGCTTGCAGGAATTAGCTTGTTAATGCTATCTGAAGGGCTTCAACTGCATCAATGTAGGTTATATGTTTTGTAATAGTTAATGTTGACACATGTTTACAGCACATTTCAGCATTTTGCTAGTTTAAATTAGCATTTTGTAGATCTTTCTTGAAGGAATTAGCTTGTTAATGCTACCTGAAGATCTGAAGGGCTTCAACTGAGGGAATGTGGGCTAAAAAGTTTGTAATTGTTAGGGTTGAAACATGTTTATAGTACTTTTATGCATTTTGGTAGTATAAATTAGCATTTTATAGATGTTCCTTGCAGGAATTTGCTTGTTAATTCAAACCTTTTAGACCTTCAGATATCATTAACAATCTAATACCTGTTTAAAACATAAACATAATGCCAATTCATGCTAACAAAGGTTAAAACATGCTAATTGACGTTAGTTATGAGTGCACATGATAATAAACACATTAGCCTTTTATAGATGTTGCTAACAGAAATTAGCTTGTTAAAGTCTGAAGAGATTTAACTAGGTGAATGTGAGTTAAATATGTTTGTAATAGTTAATGCTGAAACATGTTTATTGCACATTTGAGCATTTTGCTAGTATGAATTAGCATTTAGATGTTGCTTGCAGGAATTAGCTTGTTAATGCTATCTGAAGGTCTAAAGGGCTTCAACGGTGTGAATGCAAGTTAAATACTTTGTAATAGTTATTGCTGAAACATGTTTATAGCACATTTTAGCAATTTGCTAGCATAAATTAGCATTTATAGATGTTGCTTGCAGGAATTAGCTTGTTAATGCTAAATGAAGATCTGAAGGGTTTCTACTGCATTAAAATAAGTTAAATGTTTTGTATTAGTTATTGTTGAAATGGGTACCTACAAAAAAATCCAGCTTAAACCAGCCTAGGCTGGTTGGCTGGTTTTAGCTGGTCGATCAGCCTGGTTTTAGAGGGGTTTTGGCCATTTCCAGGCTAGTTTTCAGCCATTTACAGCCTGGTCTTAGCTAGTCAGGCTGGGAGATGACCAGCTAAAACCAGCTTGACCTGCCTAGCCAGGCTAGGAGTCCAGCCAAAACCAACTATGTCCAGCTTAAACCAGGATGGTTAAGCTGGTTTTAGCTGGATTTAGCTGGTCATATTCCAGCCTGACCAGCTAAGACCTGGCTGGAAATGGCTGGAAATCAGCCTGGAAATGGTCAAAACCCCTCTAAAACCAGGCTGGTCAACCAGCTAAAACCAGCCGACCAGCCTAGGCTGGATTAAGATGGATTTTTCAGCAGGGGTTTATAGCACATTTTAGCATTTTGCTAGCATAAACTAGCATGTTACAGATGTTGCTTGCAGGAATTAGCTTGTTAACTCTATGTCTGAAGGGCTGGGTGAATGTGGGTTAAATGTTTTGTAATAGTTCATGTTTGAAAAGTTAATATTCACTTAAACCCATAAGTAATCAGTAAGAGTCAAAACTTCCTGAAGATCTGATCTCCCACATGAAAAAATACTGGAAGTTATGTGTACTAAATACTACTATAGTGTTTTCAACCAAACTATAATAAACTACTTTATTTGATCAGTTATGATAATTCTGTAGTTGCTGTGGTACTACAATGACAGTAGCAATATAAACTGTACTAAGTTTTCTACAAATAGTGTAGATATCATACTAATATTTATAATTAAAGGCTTTCGGAGGACGTGGGTTTAGAAATTTGGTCTCAGAAGAAGTAAAAAGGAGTACAGTAGATCAGTATCTAGACTTTCTTGAGGCTAAATAGCTAAATGTTTCTTAAGCCAAAGCCAAATAGTCATTTTGTGATGAATACAAACGGAGGAAATGTGTTACATTATGGAAGTAAAATGGGCTGTGAACGCCATTTCCTGTCGACTTGAATGCATTACTGTACTAGCTGTCGTTCCACACGCTTCAGCTAAAATTTAACTGTGTGTGTTTGACAGAGGACTGGACGACGCCAACAAAGACGGGCTCTCCAGAAGAGGGCAATACTTCCATTCTGATTGGCTGTCTGGTGACTATTATTCTGCTGCTGGTGGTGATCATCTTCCTCATTCTGTGGTGCCAGTATGTGTGCAAAGTCCTGGAGAAGGTGTGTGAGCATGTTGAGTCAGGAAATGTTTGTATAGCAGAAAAGCAGTGTTTGTCAGCTTAGTGTTCTTTGTGATTCAATATTTTGAAAGACGTGGATGAAAGTTTGGTCCAATTCAACCAAAGAAAACACTTTTTTTTTAAGTTTTATTAAAAGTTTATGTGCAGTTTGTGTATTAACCATGTTGCTTTGTTTACCCCAAAATTTTACATTTTGGGTTGGCTTTGTCCGAAAGCTTAGGCTGTTGCCTTGTCAAGGCAGTGACCTTGGTAGCAGCATCTGTGCACAAAAACACCTAAAAATATGATTTCATATAGACTTTTAAGTAGTGGTGTAACAGATCCCAAATCTCATGATTCCAATCACGTTATGATTTTTTTGTCACGGATCAGACCATTTTTCAGATCAGCCAAAAGGGGAGGAGACAAATGTAATTTGCTTTCCATTTATTACAAAAAACAGAACTGCAAGACACTTTTGGTTTTAACCAACAGAACTTAGAACCTGTAATTTTATTACAATTAAAATGAAGAAATAATCAGCTGAATAAAAATAAATCATAAAATATTCAGTTCTGTGAAAAATTCACTGTTACTACTACTGTTGCTGATGACGCTAAATGTAGAAATCTAAAATTATAATTTGTACAACCCATATTTATGTTTATATGTTTATGTATATTCTGAAGAATTATCCAGTGGCATATCTTTGATGGCTGATTGTCGCCACCCACTGGTTAAATAATGTAATTGCTGCCTACAACTGTCATTTTCTGAACGTCAAGTTAAAAGCATATGAAGGTAATTCGACTGAAACTCGTTCTTGATTTTTGCGTTTTTCAAACACAGATTTGAATGCAGCGATTCGAAGGATTAATAAACATATGCAGATCACCTTCGTTTATAATTGATGTTACGTGGATGTTAAAGATTCCAATCTTAATGAATAATCATGCAGCTTACACTGAATGCATTAATGCAGGCTAAACAAGTAGTGACAGAAAACACCTTTAATATCCCACCACATCCCAAATAACCCACCACAACTACTTCTGTCATCATTATATTTTACATGTATTACATGTATTATACATGTGATTTGAATTACGCCAGAGGCGATCTCTTTGCTTTTATAACGAATTTTGGATTAAACTTCAAGTAAAAAAAGATGTTATTAACCCGCGGGTCACATGTGTTCTGAACTGTGGGATCTAAATGAATTTACGGATCAACCATGATCAGTTACACCCCTACTTCTGAGACAGCAAAATGATTTAAACATGTAAAATGAACCGGAGATTAGAGTTTTGGTGATGAACAAAGGAATATTTGCTTGCTACAACACTACCTTCTCACTAAAAAGGCCATCGATAAGAAACTCTTGCTGCTCATTTTGACCAGTTCATTCATTCATTCATTCATTTTCGAATTAATTATCCAGCATATGTTTTATCCAGCGGATGCCCTTCCAGCCACAACCCAACACTGGGAAACATCTATATCTAATCTAATCTACATCTCACACTCATACACTACAGACAGTTTAGTTTACCCAATTCACCTATAGCGCCCGTGTTTGGACTGTGGGGGAAACCGAAGCACATGGAGGAAACCCACGCAAACACTGTGAGAACATGCAAACTCCACACAGAAATGCCAACTGACCCAGCCGAGGCTCAAACCAGCGACCTTCTTGCTGTGAGTCGATTGTGCTACCCATTGCGCCACCGTGATGCCCATTTTTTTTGACCAGTTACATTATATTATTATATGATCTCAGAGAGTCTTTTCTGGTTACATAAATAAACAATAAAAATCTCTGATCAAAAATCAATATTTATTTACACACAAAATAAGACCCAAGTGGAGCTTTGGGACCCCACGTTGAGCCATTATGCAGCTCAACTTTCAGAAACGGAATGCATAGCATTATGGGAAATTAAAAGCAGCAAAGGGCACATCTATGCCACACATTGGGTTAAGTGTGTTTCGTCCATTTCTTTCACCTTATCTGTTCAGCTGAGGGAACAGAACCAACCCTGTGACGTCAGACATGCTATTTTCATTAAAATGGTTACATTAAATAAGTTTGTTATATATATTTTTTCATTTAAAGTGGAAATCAATTCACAAAGTAATGTAAACTTGACTGACTGCTTCACTTTCACTTTAAAAGGCACCATTTTAGCAACCTTAGTTATTTTGTATGTTTATTTGATTATTTTTTTGGCTCATACACACAGTTGTCCTTTCCATACGCACAAGACACCTGCTTATAAACACCCCATACTTCCTGGAAAACATTGTGCAATTCTGAGTGTGCTCTGTACAGGTGAGTGGGCTCGACAAACCTGCTCTGTATGTAGGCCTGTCACAACAATCAATATATGGACTTATCCCACAACACATGGACATGACCTCAGTCATTTTTAGTGATGCATTAGTATCGCCCATACATAAAAATCAGTTCTAGCAACATGTCAGCTGATTGTGCAACACCTCTATCTTTATTGGAGGTGTCAGTGTCTGTATGGTTAAAAAACACTGTATTATTTACTATAAATTACTGTAGTATATTTTCATGTTGGTGTCTGACAGCTGAAAACAGATCTGGTAGCAGATATTGCAGCCTCTGTTTTTACCTTTTACTTTTTGTTAACATTTATTATTATTTATTTAGGATATGCGCTTTTACATTCTGATTCCAATGCCTGATTATTAAATTGATAAAACGACTATAATTAAATGAAATATTCTTAAGAATAAAATATTATCGGTTCTTATTGCATTGTGATGATATTATATTGTCATTCTGGCATTATATAATGAATGAACTAGTCTTAAAATGAGAATAATATTGTTAATTGCAAAATACTGTACAAAAAATAGATATCTTGACTGGCCTATCTGTATGCATATTCTGTGTGCTCAGAGGAAAAAATAGGACTTGTACTAGCATTTAAATAATTGTGTTATTTCTTACTGAAGTGCTTCTTTTATTCTTATTTGTAACTTTAGATAAAGGTGTCTGCTAAACATGTACATGTCATACCAACTTTACTGTATTAACTGTCAAATTAGTCAAACAAGTTAGTTTTTTTGTGTTGGAATTATTATAGGAAATACTGTGAAAAATTCCTTGCTTTGTTAAACATCATTTAGGAAACCTAAAAAATAATTCACAGGAGGGCTATATATATATATATATATTAGGGATGTAACGGTATCAGAATTTCATGGTTCGGTAATACCTCGGTATGAATGTCACGGTACGGTATTTATTGAATCATTTACAGGAAAAAACAAAACTTATGAAAATACTCCAAAAAAGTGCCAAAAGTGTCAATGACATACAAATTAGCCATCTATCTGTAAGCTTTGAAACAGGAACTTCAATTTTAATAACAAAAAAATATTAAACCATGTAAAAAAATTAAGTTTCAATTTAGTATTGTTGAAAACTCATCACATTCAACATTTAATCACTCACTCACTTAGATAGAGATGGGTTTAAAGGAAAATTATCATATAACTATAATCTGGTAAAAGCTGGTATCTCTGGGTATTTACAATGTCCCCTACAACAGAAAAAACCTCTCTCATTTGGGACTGAGGTTTCTGGGACAAGAGAGATATGACTTGGCCCAGGTTGACAGCAGTGGGTAACGTTGTGCATTGTCTTTCCCCCACTTGAGAGGACAAACCATGAGTGAGATAGAGGTCTCATGTCTGCATCAATCTGAACAGTGTGCTGACAACACCGCTATTCAGTACGCGCGCGACAACACAGCTGATAAGAACTCGCGCGACAACACCGATATTCAGTACTCGCGCGACAACACAGCTGATAAGAACTCGCGCGACAACACCACTATTCAGTACGCGCGCGACAACACAGCTGATAAGAACTCGCGCGACAACACCGCTATTCAGTACGCGCGCGACAACACAGCTGATAAGAACTCGCGCGACAACACCGCTATTCAGTACGCGCGCGACAACACAGCTGATAAGAACTCGCGCGACAACACCGCTATTCAGTACGCGCGCGGCGACAACACTCGCTTTAGAGTTTTCCAGTTTTTTTTCATCCCCGCTTCTAGCAGCACACTCCATTTCCGCATTACTGGATCTGTAGCGACAACAGACCGCAAGGGATGATGGTCAAGCATGGGCTGATGGGAATTGTAGTTTTCGCTACCTCCCGTTCGCTTCATTCGCCTGAGCAAATTTTCTCAGAAGACCTATAGTTTTACCGAGTTATGCGACTTCGGCAATATCGAAAAAAATTAATATTGCGGTATGACGGTATTTACAATACCGTTACATCCCTAATATATATACATATATATATATATATATATATATATATATATATATATATATGTATGTATAATATCTTATATTTAATAATAATATATTATAATATCTTATATAATCTTATACAATATATATCTTGTGTCTGAATAAAATGCAATTTTCATAAGTATTTTTTGTTCATATATACACACACACACACACACACACACACATACACACACAAACACACAAATGCCCTGTTCATATATATATATATATATATATATATATATATATATATATATATATATATATATATATATATATATATATATATATATATATATATATGTACAGGGCTTGACATTAACAACCGCCAATGCGGGTAGATTTCAGCTCTGGTGGGTTAGACAGCCACTGCCACTAGCCACTTTGACAATAAGGATGACCCAGTTTGCGTCCAAATGCGATCTTACAATCGAGAAGCAGCACGACTGACAAAAATAATTGTGTTCGCATGAGAAAAAAGAAAGCAGGGGAATATCGAATGAGAGGATGATCATAGGCGCATGACTGTTTAAAACGCATGCGCGCTCCCGTTTCCTTGCGTGAAGCAACCTCGCCTAGAAACGCAATTAATGTGATCAGTTCTCCTTCAAATAGACCAGACAAAAAGTTATGCTCATGCAGCCACAGTCTTTCTGCTTTCAAGAGCTCCAGATTTGTCTTTTTAGTAAGCAGCACCGATTGCTTTTATTTTGACCATTTTTTTGAACAGATTATTAATTCACGTTAACTGTGTGCATGTGATCCTCCTTTAATTATCACACGGTATGTTTATCACCTGCTGTCTTTTGCTTAGTTATTTTTGTTAATATGGTTTAATTATAGTTTTTTTTGCAATAACATTGCTTTAATGTGAGATTAACTCCCCATTTATGCGTAGTTAACTGGTGATCTGATTACTGTGCATAGTTTAGATACACAACAATTATTTTTTTAAATGTCAATTTATTTATTTTTAAAGAAATGTTTGTTAAATAAAAAGTGTAGGGTACAGCTATATTTTGCTTGTTTTAACACATTTCAATTTTGGGCCTAAGAAATAATTATTTATTTATGTTTGGAGAGATAAATTTCGTAAATCCTTAATTTTGAGCTCTGATGAAAAAAAAAAAAAAAAAGTCCTGTGAAATAAAAACTAATTGTAATACGGCACTATGAAACCACAACACATTTGCTCATGTTAATTCAGTAACCTTATACACAACACACAATAAGTGACATGAATAAAGCATGTGGACATAACAAAATCTAAATCAAGTAATCTTAGCATGTCAAAGTAAAAATTATTCATATAAAATATATTTTCCTTAAAACAATATTGAGACTAGTGAAAATGCTGAAGGGCTAGTAATGTTACTACTACCCATAGTATGTATATATAGTGTTGGGGAGATTACTTTGGAAATGTAATAGATTACATACAAATTACTCTATTTAAAATGTAATAAGTAGTGTACCTTTTCAATTACTTTATAAAAGTAAAGTAACCGATTACATCTGATTACTTTTAAGTTTCTAATATTTTCAACTAACAATGATTGGTTGGCGACGTCACTGACCAGAGCGAGAAGTGGCAGTACCACGCAAAAACGCTTGTTGTCGACAACCGTAAAACTGGAAGAAGAAGAAATCAGCGTTCTCGCCTTCATATAGATTTACTTTCATCAGATAGACACCGGCCTCACAGCTTCTTGAATGTTGGTGCCACTTGTGTGGACGCTACTCCGCTACTTCACTATTAAAATAGCTTTGCTACTGAATAGCACCGCTTTAATAAATGGCCCTAGCAGAAGGCATCGTGCATATCAAAAACAGGCAAAGCAACAGATTATTATTGTTCAACATATTTAGATTTAACCCCATTTGTAATTTTTAACATTTTCATTAGTAACTGTAATTTAGTTACAAATTTTTCTCAGTAACTGTAATGAATTATTGTAATTAAATTACGTAATGGCGTTACATGTAACTAGTTACTCCTCAACACTGTATATATATATGAACGGCATTGGAGGATCCGCATTTCGTACTGATGACGTTGGCTGTTGACGCTGGGTTTGCGCCACCGGTTGCTGGTTAGCGTAGCGTTTAAAAATCCGAGTCCAAACTGCAATGGCGATCTCTCTCTATCTCTTACCTTCTCTCACTACTTCTCGCTCTTACTCTTTCTGTGGATCAGTAAGAGGACAGTCTGTCATGCGAGGGCTAGTCTGAGAAAATGTGTTTTGCTTGTTCAATGCTCTTGTCTAATTTTGTATTAGTTCATTAGGTTCAGGAGGATGTGCTGTTTTGTTTTTAGTTAGAGAAGTTTAGTTAAGACGTTTGGTACGTTGAAGATGTTTCTTTTCATGCTTTTCTTTTCATATTTAGTTTAGTTTGTTGAAAACAGTTACTGAGTTTTGTTATATTTATTTCTTTGATTTAAGCACATCTAACTACTTCCTCTCCCCCAGGTAATTCATCATTTAATCATTGTAAATATTTTTCTTTCACTGTACAATATATTTTCACTGGTTTCACTGGAAGTATGGGCAATAAATAATTGCAGTAATATATGGAGAAATATGTAAGCTGGCTTAAGAGGACAGACAAAAACCATTTTCATCGCAGGAAGTCCGTTAAGATCAGGTCCCCACTAGCAGTTCACAGCAAAAAGCGTGTCTACTATGGAAATATTATATTGATATTTGGGATTAAGTTGAATAACTGAAATAATGCCTTTTGATTTTTCCTTTTCCTGTAATTTATTTTATATATATATATATATATATATATATATATATATATATATATATATATATATATATATTAAGGATGTAACGGTATTGTAAATACCGTCATACCGCAATATTAATTTTTTTCGATATTACCGAAGTCGCATGACTCGGTTAAACTGTAGGTCTTCTAAGAAAATTTGCTCAGGCGAATGAAGGAAACGGGAGGTAGCGAAAACTACAATTCCCATCAGCCCATGCTTGACCATCATCCCTTGCGGTCTTTTGTCGCTACAGATCCAGTAATGCGGAAATGGAGTGTGCTGCTAGAAGCGGGGATGAAAAAGAGCTGGGTGTTGTCGCCGCGCGCGTACTGAATAGTGGTGTTGTCGCGCGAGTTCTTATCAGCTGTGTTGTCGCGCGCGTACTGAATAGTGGTGTTGTCGCGCGAGTTCTTATCAGCTGTGTTGTCGCGCGCGTACTGAATAGCGGTGTTGTCGCGCGAGTTCTTATCAGCTTTGTTGTCGCGCGCGTACTGTAAAGCGGGGACGGAGGGTGTGTCGCGTCGCGGGGGCACTTTTGATCATTTTGGAAAGGAACTTTCTATCCAAGACTAAAAAGGGCATGTGCACTGCACAGGTTGAGCCCTGTGTGTGCACATGCCTGCAAGTTGGGGAATACGACTAATAATCAGTCATGGGGACTGCAGAAACACAGCACACTGTTCAGATTGATGCAGACATGAGACCTCTATCTCACTCATGGTTTGTCCTCTCAAGTGGGGGAAAGACAATGCACAACGTTACCCACTGCTGTCAACCTGGGCCAAGTCATATCTCTCTTGTCCCAGAAACCTCAGTCCCAAATGAGAGAGGTTTTTTCTGTTGCAGGGGACATTGTAAATACCCAGAGATACCAGCTTTTACCAGATTATATTTATATGATAATTTTCCTTTAAACCCATCTCTATCTAAGTGAGTGAGTGATTAAATGTTGAATGTGATGAGTTTTTAACAATACTAAATTGAAACTTAATTTTTTTACATGGTTTAATATATTTTTGTTATTAAAATTGAAGTTCCTGTTTCAAAGCTTACAGATAGATGGCTAATTTGTATGTCATTGGCACTTTTGGCACTTTTTTGGAGTATTTTCATAAGTTTTGTTTTTTCCTGTAAATGATTCAATAAATACCGTACCGTGACATTCATACCGAGGTATTACCGTACCGTGAAATTCTGATACCGTTACATCCCTAATATATATATATATATATATATATATATATATATATATATATATATATATATTTATATGTGGAATTGGGAAATGATGGTGGAGCAATGTAGGCTGTATAGCAGTGTACAATAGAATGAGTCTTATCTTTTGGAAAAGGTGGTAATGCTGATGTCTGTCTCTTTCTGTGTCAGGCTCCAAGGCGTATTTTGGAGGAGGAGGTGGCTGTGCGTTTGTCGTCCAGCAGTGACACCATTATCTTGCAGACTCCTCCAGTGCCTCCGCGAGTCTCCATCGACCCTCCGTATGAGAGGATTTTCCTGCTGGACCCCCAGTATCAGGACCCTGCTGCGCTCAGGAACAAACTTCCAGAGCTTTCTCAAAGTGCAGAGACTTCAGGTACCATCCATTCATCATCACACACAAACAAGTTTAAACCCTACTGAGCTGACAAGAACTAATAATTGAATTAATAATTTTATGATTGATTGATTTCCCAGAGATGGGTTGCAGCTGGAAAAATATTGAATATTTTTATGATTGAATAAAAGAATAAAAGAATAATTGATTTAATAGTTCTATGAATGAATGAAAGTATAATTTATTTAATAATTTTACAATTGAATGAATGAATACTTAAATGAACAATTGAATGAATGATTGAATAAATAAATATTCTAATTAATAATTTCATGATTGAATGAATACATAATTTAATGAACAGTTGAATGAATGGTTGAATAAATAATTGTAGAATTGATTGAATTACTTTGATCGATTGAATTAATAAATAATTGAATGAACAACTGAGCGAATGATTAAATGAATAATTGAATGAATGAATGATTGAATAATTTTATGAGTAAATGAATAAATGATTGAATAATTGTATGAGTGAATGAAATGAATAATTAAATGAATAATTGTATAAGTGATTGAATAAATGATTGAGTAATTTTATGATCGAATGAAATGAATAATTAAATTAATAATTTTATGATTGAATGAATAAATAATTAAATGAACAATTGAATGAATTAATTGTTAATAAATAAATTAAAAGTTAAAATAAGTTAAAAAAAAGTTAATAAGTAAAAAAAAATTTATTTAATGAATGAATATTTGAATTAATAAATAATTAAATGGACAATTGAATAAATTAATCATTAAATAAAGAATAGCATGAATGAATAATTAAATGAATAAATTAACACAAAATTAAAAACATAAATACTATGTAAAATATACTATTTTTTTATTCAAATTTAAAATGTACTTTATTTCTGTAATAAAATTTTAAGCGTGACTCCAATCTTCAGTGTCACACAATTCATCAGAAATCAATCTAATATGTGCATTTTAGGAAATATCAATGTAAAAACATACAGATTTATTTATTCATTTGTGTAATTAGATCTTAATTGCTGTGCAAACACTGACTTACTAAAGCAAAAATCAAGTTTTTATTCCTAAGTAGGAACATAGTGTTTCCTGTACATTACCCTGGGTTTTTTACCATTTCCAGGTTCTGAATACACCTCTCCATGGTGTCCTTATTTGAAACGAACTTCTTTGTTTTTTCCTTTAGTTCTCTGTTTCACTCTTTTACAATTGTTTTGACATTTATTTCCTCAACAGTTTGCATGCTACTGTACTGTACCTGTCAATGCTCTCGTTCCTTTCTTCCTCCTCTAGTCTTGTTTTCTAGTTTTCCCTTGCAGCCTTTATCCTCAATCTGACTTTGTTACCAGACTGCTGGACTTGTTTCCAGGGTAAGAGTCGATGCTTGCTTTTCTTTTGCTCTTTTTTTCTTTTTCTTTCTTATTTATTTACTTATTTTGCAATTTCTCATACCCAAACACTTCTCAGTGTTTTGGTTGACATAAAATGACTGATGTTGTTGATGCTAATACATTCTTATCTTCTGCTTTTCTGTCTCTTGTTTCTTCCTCTTTTTCTCAGAGTTGACTAAATTTTGACATGATGGTTAACAATTAAATATATATGTATCTGAATCTGTGTGTGTGTGTGTGTGTGTGTGTTCTCAGCCTGTAGTGGAGGATACGCAGAGCCAGATGTGACACTCTGCACCCCTCACCAGAGTTTTCAGAGCAGCGCACCGCACTATGCAGAAACAGACATCATCAGCCTGCAGGGTGTCACCGGCAGCAACATGTACTCGGTCCCAGCACTCACCGTCGACTCCCTGACCCGGAAGGACATCTCTGTGGCTGAGTTCCCTCGACAGAGACTGCTGTTCAGAGAGAAACTGGGAGAGGGGCAGTTTGGAGAGGTGAGCTTTTATCACCACATAAACTCATTCATTTATTAATTTTCCTTCAGCTTAGTCCTTTATTTATCAGGGGTTGCCACAACGGAATGAACCACCAACTATTCCCCTTTAGCTGAAGGCTAAATCATTAGCCCTCCTGTGAAATTTTGATCATTCGTTCATTCATTTTCCTTTGGCTTAGTCTCTATTTCATAGGTCACGACAGTGGAATGAACCGCCAACTATACCTGCATGTGTTTTACGCATGGATGCCCTTCCAGCAGCAACCCAGTACTGGGAAACACCCATACACCCACTCATACACTACAGCAAATTTAGTTCATCCAATTCACCTATAGCGCATGTCTTTGGACTGTGGTGGAAACCGGAGCATCCGAAGGAAACCCACGGCAACACAGGGAGAACATGCAAACTAGGGATCCACTGATACCAGTATCGAATTCGGGTCGATACTTGGTTAAAATACTCGTATTCATATCAGACATGAAAGGCCAATACCACGCACCGATACCACTCAACAGTAATTCACTACATGGACGTGATTTGTTGTCCTACCTGACCTCAATGTCTTAATGTATTAATTAGCCTAATGTATTATATATTAGCCTAATAGCTTAGTCCTTATAAACTATCAGTTTATAAAATACATTATTAACAAATATATAGGCTACTGAAGAATAAAGCGAATATGCAATAAACAAGCTAGCACTCATTATATTTATAGGGCAAAGCGCAGGGCGCAAACGCATTCAGGGCGTGTCAGAATCCACTTTTGCTAATTTAAGGGCGGAAAAATCCGCTTTGTGCCGGTGCGCATGGTCTAAAAGGGTTGAGCTTATTTTCTTAATGAGTCATAGGTGTGTTTTGAGAATAAACCAATCAGAGTCTCATTTCCCATTCCCTTTAAGAGCCAGTTGCGTCACGCCATGGCGCATTTGCCATTTACATGACGCAAAGTAAGCAAAGCATTTCACTAGCAAGAAAACAGTTAAACAGAGCATCTGCAGTGCAAGAATAAGAGATAAATGATCTACTTTCACTTTCGCTCTCGTGGATGGGAAAACCTTGTACTGTACGCACAGACATCAATTAGCCTATAAATAATTTATTTTGTTTGTTAAGCGCAAAGATTTGTTTCAAAACTATTTCTAAATTCAGTTCTAATTTCCAGCAAACGAATAAATGAACAATAATAACGAAGTGTGTTCAAAAACCTGAGTTATATCCTAAAACACATGCTGTGCCCCATATGGTCTAAAACCTGACAGGTGGGCAAATCTAAGCTTGTTTTTAATAAAATAAATATTAATATGCATATAATAAATAATACTGCTAATAATAATAACATTATACAAAAGCAAATTGAATGAACTGAAAAAGCCTCCCGAGATGAAAAAGACATGAAGGCAGTGTTTTTTTTTTATTTATGTTGGCTAGACAATAATATGTTTTGTAATATTTTAATCCTTTATATTTATATCCTATATATATTCTTATTATATCCTATATAAATCCTTAATATTTTAATTATTTTTCATATGTAAATATATTTGCATATTGCTTGTGTGTATTAAAGGGTCACGAAACACCAAAACACATTTTTTGAGCTGTTGACAGTCGTATATGTGTCCCACACTGCTAAAAACACTATTAGGACACCTATATTTCACTAAAAAGTGTAAATTGGTTGTTTTTGAGTTATTTCAAGCAAATTCATACTTCCGGTTTGAAACGAATTTTTGAAGCTGCGTCACGGTCATGACATAATAGCGTGTATTCCAGCGTGTATTCCAACGACTCTTGCGCCAAGCTGAAACTAGCAAACCACAATTGCCTTGCGACACATTGCGCCGAGTGTATGAAAGGGCCCATAAACTATAAATAAAAAATAAAAATAAATTTTAAGTAATTGAACATTGTCAAAATCTAAAGACTACAGGCTAAATAAAAGCTTCTCGTCATTTATGTATATTTTTTATCAAATAAAAATGCATTGAATTGTTTATTTTGGTTTTCATTTTATTAGAATTAATATAATTATTAGGCGACACAACTTCTACATAACATTGGCTCTGATTGCGTTTTTACAGATATCCTACAAATAGATTTTTTGGCTCAAAGACATTTATGCCTGTTCATTTCAGTGCTGTATTCTATGCTTGTCAGCTGTTACCGGCCTCAGTTTTGCAACTTGACTTGTGTGGCGTCTACGTATCGACATCTGGATGACAGCGAGAGAGAGATGAGGTCAGACTTCAGATTCGATGTGTGGCCGCACGTCGCAGTTACTTTTAATACAATTTTCGAATGTAGGCTCATCTAAATTAACTTTTCATTCGATTAAAAGCCGAAATATTGCCAGACAGACGAAGCAACTTTTGGTCTTGAAGAGAGCGGCTTTAGTGAAAAAAGACGCACGCACACAGGATACACTCTTGTCGGCCTATTCAATTTAAATTTTTAACATTAAACGCATAATAATCAAGTGCAAAAAAGAAGAGCTGAACTTTGGGAAAAGTGTTCACTGCGGTTGCTGCGATGGTTGCTTGTTTCTCTTCAGTTAGCTTTTCAGTGCTAAATCACTTTTGTTTTAACTGTTATTATTATTTATTTATTTTTATTTTTTTGGGCCTTTTTGCCCTTTAATAAGTGGATAGGACAGTATTTCAGACAGGAAGCGAAGTAGGAGAGAGAGAGGGGGTAGGGACGGAAAATGTCCTCGAGCCAGGATTCGAACTCGGAACGCCTTGAAGTGCTACTGTGCGCTAACCACTAGGCCAGTGGTTCTCAAACTGCGGTACGTGTACCACTAGTGGTACGCGGACTTCCCTCTAGTGGTACACGGAGGAATGAAATATGTCATGTACATGCTACATATATTTCAAAATGTATCAAAAATAATGTAAATAATATCCCATATATGACATATAGCCTATATTTCTGAGGTAATCTGTCACGTTTTTTTAACTGAGCAGAGTTGTAGCTGCTTTCCTAGGCCTACCACGCTACTGTATTTCAATACTGCTCATTTTGATGGTACTTGGAGTGACAATTTTTTTTCTGAGGTGGTACTTGATGAAAAAAATTTGAGAACCACTGCACTAGGCTATTGCGCCAACGCTTTTGTTTTAATAAAAAATAAGATTATTTATTAATAGACATTGTGAGATGATGGTCGCGTGATTTTTAAAATAAGAGTATGCGTTGCGTATTTATGGCTATTGATCTCATCTTCCCCGCAACCCACCTATAGTTAAACATTAAGTAGCCTACTTTTGGATTACCTGACCAGCGGATTACTCAGGACTTTTGAATATGAAAGAATCACGCACAAAAGGGTTTTATGCATCCCCAATATGCAATGTCAAGAGAGTGACTCCATAAGATAACTTACAGTGCACACACTTTGTGAAATGTGTGAAGTCGTGGACGCATGTAAGCAGAAGGATAACTAGTCCTTTAAATGTCCATGCTTTGTCATTAATAGATAAGGTCTGGATTCGCAGGGTTATCAACAATGTGTGTATATTTTTGGCTTGAAACAGCCTTCTGTTAAAAGATTTTTGTGTTCATCCTTGCTACAGGCAAAAAAAAAAACAAAAGACAAACAAATAAACTTCATTGAAACCAAATCTATGAAGTATCGGTGCTTGGTATCGGCAAGTACACAAATTAAATACTCGTACTAGTATCGGTTTGTAAAGAAGTGGTATCAATGCATCCCTAATGCAAACTCCACACAGAAATGCCAACTGACCCAGCTGGGACTCAAACCAGCGATCTTCTTACTGCATTGTGACAGTGCTAACCACTGAGCCACCATGCCGCCCATTTATAAATATTTATTTAGAATTTTTTAGCTTGATTTTCTTTAGGGTATAAAATAAGAAACAAAGCATCTTCTCTATCAATCCTTTCACATCTTTCCAAAAATGTCTAATTTTACAACACTCCCATTGTCACAGTTCGGGAAGAATGAGGAAGCGTGGACTCAATTGCAGACAAAATTATTTATTATAAAATAAAACCCGAAGGCAAAACAAACTACCCCGAGGGGGAAAACATGAATCAAAAGGCAAAAAGCAAACTTGACTGGGCTGGCAAGACAAGGCAGGGCTGGGCACAACAGGACAGGGAAAGATCGACGACGAACTAGCACAGAACAGCAGACATGAGGAGAATATAAACAGAAGTAAATGAACACACAAACAGATGAACACAATTAACTAAATGGGTTAACAAGAAGGGTGGAGCTAGACAATAGACAAGCACATGACACAGAGATAGCACAAGCCACGTGCTCACATAAAACGGGACAGGAACACACAGCCAATGAGAGAGCTCATTTACTGAGTGTTTAAATGACAACACAAGCACGCGGTCCATGTAAACACGCACCACGTGCTAAACACTGAACGGAAGACAAGAGTACACGATGAATGAAAACACACACGCAGCGTGAATGTTTCATCCCAGCGCCAACCGAAACCAACTGGACTGAGACGCTGGGAATGAAACGCCATGCTGTAGACAGACGAACGTGAACACCCGGATGGGAGCGCACACTTGCAAACACACAAAGACCTTACGCACCCACATTAAGCACGTTCACCAGGCACGTGCACACATAGGGCTCAGTGCACATGCCCTTTTTAGTCTTGAATAGAAAGTGCCCTTCCAATGTGATCTGAAGAGCCCTAGCAACAACCCCTCCCCTAACCGGTCTTCAGTTTTCCCGCAACATCCTAACGACGCCCCCCTCCCCGCTCTTCAGTTTTTGCTTGACAGGACAGGACTAGACAGAGCTAGTGTCCGGACTCTGCCACTAAAACAAGAATTTACAAGACCAGAGTGGCAGAACCCTGACACCCATGCAATAAAATAGTGTACTTTAAAACTCTTTTCATCTAATACAAAAGTCAGGGATGTTTTCACTATATTTTATGCTGCACAGCTGGAGTTATGTGCTGTAGATCCACATCAGCCACTAATATTATAGG